TGGAGATGCCAGATGATCTGGTTGTTTCAGGTCCACCCCAGCCCCCTTCCCAGGCGCCCTCTCTCCCACCTGCACAAAGGAATGGAAGAGAGGATTGTTGTCTTGCTGTTCCTGGGCATAAGCCATGGTCTGCTTCACTTGCAGGCAGTATTGGACATAGGGCTGGAACCGCTGGCTGAACTGAGGGGACAGATACGGGCAGGCAGGGGGAAGAAGGTCATGAAATACAGGCTCCAGCTGCAGAACACGGGGAGCACGGAGGAGAGAGCCTCCCACCGACCCTTAGTCCAGTTGGTGCCAATCCCTACCCTCCATGACGCTCTCCCCCGTGACTGCCAGCCCCACCCTCTGGGTTCCAGGGAGAAACTGAGATCCCAGGAGGCTGACCCATGGCCACTCTCTGAGCTCCTATGCACGGCCCCTACTGTACCCTGCTTCTCTGGACGGACTCTCCTGTCATCAATAATTCAGCTGGAATGTTTTCAGGACACAGCAGGTCTCGTTTCACACAGAGGTGGGTAGTGACCTGAGGCTTGCCCAGAAGCCCTATTCCTATGGAAGGGGGTACCAATGGCTCCCAGGAGACTGTCTCCCCACCTCTGTCCCCTATTCTGGCTCTGCAAGGCCCGCATTTTCTTGATTGGGTAACACCGTGGAAGAAAGTCTGACCCCAGGCCCCTTGCTTTCTTTCTTTCTTTCTTTTTTTATTTTTTAAATTTTTTTAATGTTTTATTTATTCTTGAAAGAAAGAGAGACAGAGCATGAGTGAGGGAGGGGCACAGCAAGAGAAGGACACAGAATCTGAAAAAGACTCCAGGCTCTGAGCTGTCAGCACAGAGCCCGACATGGGGCTCAAACTCACAAGCTGTGAGATCATGACCTGAGCCGAAGTCGGACGCTCAACCAACTGAGCCACCCAGGCACCCCAGGGCTCTTGCTTTCTTATTACATTTCTCCATGCTCTGGGTGCCCTGTGGCCTTTTATACCCCCCCACCCCCAGCCAGTTGCCCAGGGGATGCCTTGCTTCAGCCCCATTCTTCTTGCAGCTGTTTGTCAGAGGCTTTCTGGCCAAGAAGTAAGATTGTATAGTTAAGAGATTCAGTGGAACCCTTCTCTGAGATAGCTGCATTTCATTTCAAAAGAGTCACCAAAAGACCAAAGAACTTTTGGGACAGAGGTCGTATCGGTGGAATGAAGGGCAGGAGGTGAGGTGATATTCTGGGGGTGGGGGCGTGCCCTCAGACTCCCCCAACTCCCAGAAGGGTTTGAGTGGCACAGGCTGATCCTGCAGACAGGATCTCTCTGGGCTCTCCCAGGCCCGCCCCAGCCACACGTGGCCCTTTGCCATGCCTTACCGTCAAGAAGCCGTCTTGTAGACTGACAGGGTCCAGAGGCTGGCCTGAGGCTCGAGCCTCCCCCAGGGTGGGCCCCAGCACCTCCTCCCAAAATCTCTTGTGGACTCGAATCAGGCTGGGGACATTTCCAAACAGGGTCTCAGCTGATACCTGGAGGAGGGAGCAGAGCTTAGTCACAAGCTTTGGCAGGTCACTGTCAGGCAGCACTGGCCGTGGACAGGCAAGGAACCATAAGCTTGGATGAAACTTGCGGGGGAGCTGAGAGATGGAAGGGGCTGGAGCTTTCCCTTCTATTTCTCTGGCACATTGGCGCAGCTGTGCTGAGCACCGGAAAAGAGCAGAGGCCAGTCTGCTTGGGGTCGAGAGCAGGAAGGGGACCAGGGAGGGCAGGGGGTGTCCTAGAAAACAGAGAATTTGGACAGCAGCCTGTGGGGCTCTCTGCAAGCCCACTCCCACTCTGCGGGCTCAGGGCTTGGGGTGTGGAGGGTCCTCCAGAGTACCCACTCACCTCGGTCAGGAGCCCCACTCGCTGCAAGTTCAGCAGGCCGGCGGCCAGGAGCTGGATGCAGGGAAAGATGAGAGTCTCAGCACCTGACCTCTACCTTTCGGACCCCAGCCTAGTCCTCTGAAGTGTCTCTACCTCCAGATTTACCACTGCTAACCTTCTTCCTAAGATCCCGGGGAGGTCTCCAATGGGGGGGATCTCTCAGCTGCCTGTCCCCCACCCCTACCTTCCTCCCACCCCCTGCCATGGTCCTCCCTTCTTGGCCTGGGGGAATGGGGGACAATGCAAGGGAGATGGGTAAGTGGCTGAGGTGGGGGCCTGGGCTGGAGCTGGGGGCAGCTCACGTCGGTCATGATTTTGAGCTTCCGCACATAGATCAGCTCGGTGGTCAGCAGCTCCCACAGTGCTTCCTGTTGGTGGCAAAGCTCCCGGCTCATCTCCTGGGGTAGGGACAGTGCTGGCTCAGTTGGGGGAATAATGACAAGAACAGCAGCTGTCATCTGTTCAATGCTACTAGATCTACTTCATAGATGACCTTTTAATCCTCAAGTGTGTAGATGATGTTATCCCCATTTGACAGATGAACCAACTGAGGCTCAAAGAGGTTTACAGTCTTGAGCAAGGTCTCACTAGTCAGTGGCAGAACTAGGAGTTGAACCCAGAATGAGATGTCTCCAAATGCTTTCCCCATGTGACCCCACTTCCCAAGGCCTTTCTCTCTTCCAGGGCAGAGGGGAGGTATATGTGTGCGTCTGTGACACCACAGGGACCGACACTGTGTTCCAGGCCTACCTTGTGCCCAGGCACCAGCTCCTTCCAGGACTTCTCAATGACCAGGCCACTGTCAGTGCCCTCTCCTATCTCCCAGTGCTGACGGTCCTCAGGGGGCAGGCGGGGCATCCCAAACATGCTGAATGTATGCAGCCTCATCTCCAGTTGTTGGGCCTTGGGGACTTCCTGGGAGAGCCAAGAAGGGGACCAGTCCTGGCCATGTCCTGTGCACCCAGACCCCTGGTCTGGGGAGGGCTGCATGTGCGTGTGTGTGTGTGCGTGTGTGTGTGTGTCTGAGAATGGGAGGTGGCAAGCAGCACTATCTGTGAGTGGGGACACGGAGGCCTGGGGGACAGGGGTTGACCCTGGCTGGGATTACAGGCAAAAGGGCATCGCTGAAACACGGATGGAGACGTACCTTGGTCTCCAGAAAGGTGCCTGACAGAGGAGTCTGACCTAGGCTCTCTGACCAGAAAGATACTTTGTAGGGCCCTTCTGAGGCAGAACCCTTTAGAGGGACCTTTGGGTGGAGACCAGACAGGACTAGGGAACCAGTGGTCTCAGGCAACATTTTGACATTTGCCTCTAAAATGAACATTTTTATGAGGCAGCATGGTTTGGAGATGCATCCTTGAGAGGGTCTCTAGACAGAACCGGATCCAGCTTCTTGGAGGAGCTGGCCATGCTCTTGGCCCTGACCATCTGTGGAGGACCCCATGGCTTGGCTATGAGCATGGGAATGGGAGAAGAGGGGCCCCTCACCTTGAGTTTGGGGGAGTGTGGTGGGCCAGCCCCCAAATAGCCTCCATGCCTCTTCTCATGCTCTGGCTCTCGCAACTTCAGGGGAGACAGGCCTCGGACCTGGCCGGAACCCTTGGCAAAGGGGACGTAGTCTTGGAAGCGCCGGCGACTGGGATCCTGGAGGAGGAGGAGTAGGGTAAGTTCTTAGAGGGGCCTCCCTTTTCCCAGAAGTCCCAGGGTGGTAGTGGGGGCTTGACTCCAGACGGTGTCCCTCACCGCTGCAGGCAGGGCGGGCTCACCTCTCCCCTCAAACCAGTTTGATGTGAGCCACTCCTGCCCTGAGTCACAGCACCTGCTGCCAGGGAGGCCAAGCGGAGCTGGGCAGGGGCATGCCAGCTTGGCTCCCCTAGTGGGCCCAGGGGCAGAAGTGGGGGGCCTACTGTAGAGCAGGCGCACAGGCACCTACACGCCTGGGCTCTGGTGTGTGTGTCCCCCAGCATCTGCCCACTCACAGGCGTGCTTCCTGTACCATGGGCTTGCGTTGCACAGTGCATTCTGGGTCCCTCGCAGCTTTCCTTGCATGTGGGGATGAGGGAGCACGCATGTGCGGCCTCCCCAGGGGCATGCAGCCTGTGTCCTTTCCAGTTGGGAGTGGCTGCCCTTCTACATGAGAGATTGAGACCAAACGCAGGCCACACACACGTCCTCCCTCCCCCCCCCCCCCCACCCCGGGGCAGGCCTGGTCACATTCCTTGATCTGCCTGTGGCCTGACTAACACTGCGTACTTCCTAGTCTCCCTTCCTGCCCTCAGCCTGGGAGAGTCCCTAGCCATCCTCTTTGTCTCCCAGGGCAAAATCCTCTTCCAGTAAGACAGGGGATACCCCAGCTGGAAGCAGAACTGTTCTCAAGGTGACGGGGTAGCTTGGAGGCTGAGGGAAACACTGCTTGGCCTCCACACCCCTTTTCTTGGTCAGCATTTGAGGCAGGCCAGGAGGGCAGAGCAGTGGTGAAGCCCAGGCAGGCCTCCGCACCCCTCCCCGCTTGCAGAGTAGGGACATCCAGGACCTTTGCTCTTCCTTCAGTGCTGACTCAGAGGGAGCAGGTCTCAGGGAGCCCACAGGCTCCTCCCAGGTAGAGGCGGGAGTCTGGGAGGTACCAACCCCAAGGGTTGATACATGCCACTCTCCACCACCCCCCACCCCTCACCTCCATGCCTCAGACCTGTCTAACAGCACCTCTTCTGAGGACCTGGCTTCTCCTGGCTCTCTGCCTCACCTGCAGCATCTGTCTGGGATGGGTGTGGAGTCCTGGGAGTCTGGCCCAACCCTGCCCTCCTCTCCCTCACAAGCCAGGAAAGAAGGTAGGGGTGAGGGACAGGAATAGAGCAGCCCATGAACCTGCAAGATAGACCTGAAAGCCTTGGTATCCTCCCTCTGCCCCACCCAGGTCATTTTGGGGGCAGCCTGGACTCACCAGCACAGGCCCTCCTCGGGGATAGAGACTGCCAGCAGGATTCTGGGTGGTGGCCCGATGCCGGCCTCCATAAGTCTCAATGCGGGAGGCCACAAGTCCTTGGAGGGGACCATCATCTGGAAGAGCAAAGGTCTGCATCTTTTCTCTCCTGGGTCACCTCGGAAGGGTCATAGCTTCAATGTCCAGGAGAAAAGGGTCCCCTGAGGCTGTACAGAGAAAATAGAGAAATGGAAGGGCCAGCCTTGATCAGTGGGTGGCTCCAGGTTGGAGACCAAGGGACGGAAGAAGGAAAGATGATGGAGTGGGGGAGGAAGGAACAAGAGCTTGTCACTTATTGTGGGGGCATAACTGCCTGTGACATGGTGGAGTTGGGTAGGACCCCACATGCTGGGTGGAAGCCCCCTTGGAGCTATGCCTCCTTCCTCACGTGTATGCACATTTGGGGTACAGTCTTCCTCGTCTGCCTCAAAGGATGCTTGCAGTCCTGAGTAGCTGGGAGCAAGAGCCATAGGCAGGTCCCCAGGCTTCCTGGATGCCCCCTTCCAGTGGGGGTATTTCTTTTGCACCTAGCCACCCACCCCCAGCCCGGGGAAGAGCTGCAGGGAGAACACGGGGTGGGGGGCACTGGACACTGAACCACCTGCCTACTGTTTTTGTACAGCCCGAAAGCTAAGAATGCTTTTCACGTGTTTGAATGGTTGGGAAGAAAAATCAAAAGAAGAATAATATTCCAGGACACATGAAAAGTGTACAAAACTCAAATCTCAAGGTCCCTAAGTAAAGTTTTAGTGGAACACAGCCACATTTACTCCCTTCCAACTGTCTACCACTGCTTTATTGCTAGTTGTGACAGAGACAGTTCCTATAGGCTTCAAGTCTGACATACTTACTCTCTGGCCCTTTATTCAAAGTTTGCCTACCCCTGACTGGACCCTCCTGGCCACAGACAAGGAGGTGAGGGAAGGCAGCTAGCAGGCCGCTGGGCTTACAGACAGAGGCAAGGGGCAGGAGGGTATGTTTGGTGCTCCCCAGCCTCTGGGAACACCTCCAGAGAGCCGAGCCCGGAGCCAGGTCGGGGGGTCCATCACTTCCCCGTAAACCTGGATAGAGGACCTACCCTTTGAGTGGGCAGGGCCTGGAGAGCAGAGGCCTTCTAAGTAGCTGCTTGTGCCCCTCCAGATGGGCCTGAGGCCCCTGCTCAGCTCCTTACTTTTCTCCGGTTTATGAGCAAGGGAGGAAAACGTTCATTGTCCCCCAGGTCCCCTCCCAACAATCATCTCTTCAAGGGCTGCCTGTCTCTCTCCCTCTTCCTACCCCCGGACCTTTTCGAGCTCTGACGCGGGCTTCCCTTCCCTTCTCGCCCCCGCGCCGCCAGCCTCGGCCCCCCCCCCCCCCCCCCCCCCCCCCGCCCCGCCCCCGTCCGTCCGGCTCGCAGCCGCTCACCTGTGCCCGCAGGTGTCCCAGCGCCCGCCGCCCGCGCCGCCGGCCCCCCGCCCGCGGGGCTCCCGGTCGCCGACGGCTGCTCCGGCAATGCCAGCCCCGCAGCCAGGCCTGGGTCTGGGACCGAGCGGCCCGCGGGACCCGGGCAGCACAGGGCCGGGCCGGGAGGGAAGGTGGAGGGAGAGGGGCGGGGACGCGGGCTGGCACCGCCCTCTCACCGCGGGCTCTGGACCGGCTGTGCCGCGAGGGCACCCGTGGGGCCCCGGGGACGGAGGGTGTCGTGCCAGGGACGCAGCCACCTCTCCCCGGGCCAGGAGAGCTCACTGCGCAGCCCCCCCCTCCCCTCCCTCCTTCGCACCCGAACTCACCAGCTACCCGGACTGTGCGCAACTTGGAACCGCGCGCCACCCTCCGGCCCTGCTCTCCCGGCCAGACCCCTGCGAGGCGCCAGAGTAATGAGGCATAAATGCGAGGCTGGGCGTCGCGGCAGGCGGTGGTGAGGGTAAGGACCGAGTGATCTTTGGCGCCCACCTGGCTTTCAGGTGCAGCGAGTGGCCGGCTATCCCCTCCTCCCCCAGCCTTATCTTCCTCCTTTAACTGGGCAGGGGAGTGGGACTGCCAGTAGAAGGGGTACAGGGGCCCGGGTTCTCTGGCTGAGTCCAAAGTGTGACCCTTATCTCTCACATGCCTGCCCTGGCCATCGGGTCGAAAGCTGTCTCTGGACTTTGCCTTTGCTCCTGGGATGGCACTTGGTGCCCCGCTGAGGCCGGACCCGGCACTTCTCCCACCACCCAGGACTAGGGGCGGGTGGACAGGGGTATCAGATGGGGACACCCTCACACTTCACTGGCACACAGGCACATCCCAAGTTTCACAAGGACCATCCTGGCACCTGCAGTGGCTGCTGACATGGTCACTGTTCCAGCAAGGGCTCTGGCTGGACATTACACGAAAGGACCACATTTTTACATCCCCAAATCGTGACCCATCACCCGGCTGAAGCGCTGGATATTGGAAATTAGAAGTGTCCACGGATGCGGGGTCGTTATAACCTTACAATCATGAAGCCAAAGAGCCTGTAGTGGTGGGGGCTGGGCAGTCTTCCTCCCACAGATCAGCCATGCAGCGATGGGTACGACTCCTTCCATTTGTAGAACATTCTGAAATTCATGAAACATTTTCAAAAGTATAATTTCATTACATCACTAGGGGAAAGGGTCTCCATTCTTCTCTCCCTTCTGACATACTTTTTTTTAACGTTTATTTATTTTTGAGACAGAGAGAGACAGAGCATGAACGGGGGAGGGTCAGAGAGAGAGGGAGACACAGAATCCGAAACAGGTTCCAGGCTCTGAGCAGTCAGCACAGAGCCCGACACGGGGCTCGAACCCATGGACCGCGAGATCGTGACCTGAGCCGAAGTCGGACGCTTAACCAACTGAGCCACCCAGGCGTCCCTCTTCTGACATATTAAACACACAAATGATTGGAAGTGTTCTAGTCCTTACTCCAATGATTCCGTTTTGTTTGGGAGAGAAGTCTTTTTCATTCCATGGCTTCTAATTTCATCCACTCTCCTTATATTTGCTCCTTCAATATTCTCTTTTTTCTGAGCATGCTGTTACGGGATTGCTCTGTTGTTTTGGAAGAGTACCTCTAGCTCCCTGCGTCCTACCTCCTGTTTCCTGCCTCCCAGTTGATCAAGATTAGTTTTAGGGAGAGGAGCTGAGTAGGGCAGGAACTGTAGTGGAAAGAAGCCCCGTTCTTTTCCATTCACACCGTGTGTGTGTGTGTGTGTGTGTGTGTGTGTGTGTGT